ATGTCCATAGCGACACGCTGTAGCGGAAACGATGGTTGGTCCACCTTCATTGGAGCGCGAGCGGTTGGTGCTGGGGTATGCCTAGCTGAACACAGCTCACACGCCTTGCAATGCAGCTCAATGTCAGATGACATAAAAGGCCAATAGAATCTAGCTTTCACCTTCTCTAGAGTATGTTCAGTAGCGAGATGGCCACCACCACTCTCATTGTGCATCCCAGTCATAATTCTCTGTCGCAAACTGACAGGTACAACAAGTTGCAGGAATGATTTGCTACCGTCTAGTGAAGTGTACGTACGATACAATAAGCCATCTTGTAGAACCAGCCGTTTCCACTGACTCCACAGACGTATCAAGGTCAATGATGCTCCTTTCATAGCACTATCACTGCGTTTAGGCCTGTCTAACAATGCTTGTTGCCAACCAATCATGCAGTCAATGTCAATGTCACTGTCTTCCGCTTGAGCCTTCCGAATATCTTCTACTGTGAAGAAGTCTGACCAGTTTATCAAATCAGCACTTACATCATCAGGACTGCTAAGCTCGCAGGCGACCGTCTCACCGCTAGTAGTAGTTTCATCTAAGCTGGCGTAGGCAGTAGCGCTCGTGTCATTCGAAGAGTCTTCAGCTTGTTGTACCGGCGAAGAGTTGTCAGTGTCATGCGATGAGTCATCAGCTTGTTGTACCGGAACTTGTAAAGCTGCTGTTGTACCTGTAGAAGTACAGTCACACTGAACAGAAGGATCATAACATTGCTTGTTATTAGTGTTAGTAGACGAATCTAGGATTGGCGAGGCTGTCGGAGTTGCAGCGGAATCAGGATTAACGAGCTGCTCAGGAAATCGAGATAAACCATCCGCATTGCCATGCTGAGAGCCTTTCCGATGTACCACTGTGAAATCAAACGGTTCCAGCTTCTCTATCCACCGTGCAAGAATGCCTTCAGTGTCCTTGAATGACTTTAACCATACCAGCGCCTTGTGATCAGTTCTGAGAGTGAAATTTGCTCCAAGTAAGTAGTGTTTGAAATACTGCATGAAGAAAACTACAGCATACATCTCACGTCGCGTGGTGCTGTATCGACGTTGACTCTTGCTCAAAGCTCTGCTTGCAAATGCAATGACTCTTTCTCTGCCCTGGTCATCAATCTGGGATAGAGTAGCACAAATGCCATAGTCTGAAGCATCTGTATCCAAGATGAACTTACGATGAGCATCAGGATACGTCAGAATCGGCGGCGTTGTGAGGCGGTGCTTCAAAGTGTCAAACGCATCTTGACACTCATCAGTCCAGACAAAGTCGACTTTCTTCTGCGTGAGCTTGTGCAGTGGTGCCGCTATCGTGGCGAAGTCCTTGATGAAGCTTCTGTAGTAAGAGGCAAACCCAACAAACCTGCGAACTTCCTGCACAGAGGCAAGTGCCTGCATATTAGTGACAGCACTGCAGTTGGTTGGTTTAGGGGCCACACCCCCTCCTTCAAAGACATGTCCCAGGTACGTTACGGACTTTTGCAGAATTTGGCATTTGCGAGGCTTAACCTTAAGACCAGCTGCACGGAATTTCTCAAACACAAGCCGTAACCGCACAAGATGCTCATCAAAGGTAGTAGAGAATGTGATCGCATCATCAATGTAAGCCGCGCAGGCCTTCGGTACTAGATCACCCAGTACAAAGAGACATTTGTCATCTTCTGAGGCCAACTAATGCCGAGAAGTGATCGCAGTTGCTGACGGTGGAAGGAAAGGAGACTCTGCTCCAAAGCCCCATGTTCCGCCGTTGTACGCCAGTACTGATATGACAAACGCCTGATAGAGCCTCAGGCGCAGCTTCTCACTAATAAGCTCTTGTCGACACCACACAACAAACAGTGACCTGGAAGTTGCTGTTGCGAGCTGCTTCATTCTGATCACGTCTTGTTCATCAGCCAGAAGTGACCCAAGCATACGTGTCTTTCCCCAGACTTCCCCTAGACGATCCCCTTCTCTGCGTAGTGTTGTTTGCTCAGTTTTCTCTTCGTTCACTTTGAGATGCCATTCTCTGAGGACCTCAGTTATGCTCGGGCTGACACTGTCCAACCATGTCCGTGAGCTGCTCAGAAAATGATGGACTAGTTTTGTACAATAACCGTTGAAGTAGTTCGGACGTACGTTTCGCCGTATAGATCATGACGGCTCATCAGGTGTGCAAAGTTCAACTCGGATGGTGAGCCAATTTAATTATGGTGAAATAGGAGAAGGACAAAATGTTACGAGTTATGACTAACTGTCCACCAATGTAACCAGATATTATACAGTCAGCGAGTGCAACAAAATTCCTCAGGTCGCCGAATGTCTCAGTACTCCTTGTCAGTTTTGTGCCATTTTGTCGTGATGAGTCATAAGCCTCGGTCCCGTCTTGAACTCACATTTCCGGTCACTTCTAAGAAGGTTTTCAGCCGACAACAAGCAGCCGTAGACCGCCGCCCAGGTCACTCCTCGTCCTTCTTCTGTGGCGACCCTGTGTCCTGTGTCAACTTTGCTGGCTTACCTAAATGGATGGATGGAGTTCTTGAAGAGTGTCTAGGCCCAGCCACATTTGCTGTGCACGTAACCGATGACAGATTGTGGAAACGGCACAGTGACCACATCCGCGCACGTTTGCGGACTGAGGAGCCACCTGTTGCTGCACCAGCACAGGCAACAACCGCATATCCAGCTGTTGTTCCATCTTGTCAACCTCTGAACCATCCAGTGTCGACATCATCTGTGCCGGATTCAGACGCATCCGAACTACAGCCTTCAGTTGATTCTGTGCCAACAGTCGTATCTGCCTCGCCAGTTCCTCCACCACCGGAATTAGTCACACTCCCAAAGTCGAAGTCAGCTGGGTTAACTCCTGCTATTCAACCGCGTCGCTCAACTAGAGCTGTTCAGGTACCCGTCCGTTTGGACTTGGAACAGTTCTATCATCGCTATTCACAGTTAGATCTGCTGTCTTATTTCTGTGTTTACAGCTATATTTTGCAATGTCTTGTGTTGCTGTTTCGACAGGTGATTTTTATATTTGTTATTGTTGACACCACTAAGACATCACTAGGACTCTGCATGCACACAGGCAAACCTGTGCTGCCTTGCCCTTTTGCTGTTCTTCTGTCTTCCGAGTCCTTGAAGTGACTTCCTCGTTGTTCGCTTATGAAATAGAATTATACTTACTGGTAACATCCTTGTCTCAGTCTGTGTTGTAATAGTAGGTCAATATCAGATAGGGCTCTGTTGAATTGAGTGGTAGAAGTCTTTCGATCGTAGATCAGCAGGGAGGGCATTCCATGCAATCCTGCCATGAAACATCATACTCGAGCCACCAGCAGGCCTGTGAAGGGAAGCCTAGGAGCAAGTTGGAAACTTGGCCCTACTGAAGCGCTGAATATTCTGCACTGTGTTTGGAGCAGTCGTTGTAAAGAGTTCTTGTAGGAGTGGGCTACAATATCCATTGATACAGCGGTGTACACAAATTTGAACTTTCTGAGTGTATGTGTGCGCCAGGCTGACAGTAACAGTGCCATGATGCTGTTCATTTCATTGGCTGTGCAGTCGGGAAATCCCCTGTATGCAAACCCTTCGTACACTTTGCATGTTTCCGGGCTACGGCCTTCGGCCCTTGAGAATTCAAGCATTTAAAAAAAAGAGTAAAGTGCAATTGTGCATGAAGTGTTGAACCACGGATATCAGCTTGTTTCGTTTGACTTCGCTTAATTTCAGAATTTTTCTAGCTGTTTGGCGGGGTTTACCGTATATTTACACCCTGAGTGTAGACAGAACTTGTTTGGCTTTCACCAAGTCTTGGCCGCGATCTAGGCACTGAGCTCGACCATTTTGTTCATCATATGGAATTTGCGATCTTGGACAACACTTTTTAGGTTCGAGAGCACATTGAAAACGTCGATCACATTTCGGCCAATGGTCGGCCGCAAGCAAAGCGGTTTGATGATATGCAAGTCAGCCAATGGGGAGGTGCTTGTTGAGGTGCTCTTGCAGTGACCAATGGCTTGTCAGAGTGAGAAAATTCTCTCTGATTGTTAATTCTGTTCGAACTTGGCTTGTAATGACCGGTGTTGTGTATCACTGGCCGATTATCTATGTCAGTCCATAACACACAACAAGAGCTACGGTTGCTGTAGGCTACGACTAAGATCATTTCAAGTAATGAAGTCGATGATAAGAATAAATTCGGCAGCTCTTTCACCAACCGGAAAGAGCTCTTTGTTTCGGGGAAAGACAGCAGCAACCCCATTACGAGCACACTGTAACCAAATATGAATACTACAGAAAAAGGGTGAGTACCGTGCTGGCCCAATTCGGCACTAGCACCCCGAAGAGAAAATACAGCGTACAACAGTACACTACGCATAGCAGATTTAGGTGCACGATGCGCAAATAAGGAGTTGATTAGATTATTCTCGCGATTCGCGACAACCGGTACATTTTTGTGCTATTGACTGCTTTCTCATTTTCTCGAGTACAGCTTTATCGAGCCACATTTCTATCGCCATCACAATATTGGGCATCAATGCCCGTTTGGTTTGCGATGTAAAATAAAACTTCAAACAAACAAAACAAAAATAGCCCGAAAACTACACTGGGAGACATACACAAAATTTGTAAAGGTGCTCACCAACACTAAGGAATAAGAACAGTGTGTTTGAGTGTGTATGTGTGCGCAGGCGTGTGTGTGTGTATGTGTGTGTGTGTGTATGTGTACTTATGAGTGTGTGCTCATGTAGAATTGCACATGTGTGCGCGTGCGCGTGCGCTTGCGCTTGTGCATGTGCAAGCATTTATGTGCCGGGCGAGTGTGCTTGTTTTGTGTGTTCATGTGCGTGTGCGTTTATGTGTGTGTATACATGCACATGTGTTTTTGTATGTGTATGTGCACTTCTGTGTGTCTGTATTATCTTTTTGTTGAATTTGGATACTGAGCCAATATGGATTGTGTCCATGTATTCTTTTATATTATGCTACCAGAAATTTTGAAAATTTGGGATTGAAAGCAATCAATGGTTCTGCATTCAAGGATGGAAATACATTGAATTACCTGTAAGTATTGACTCGGGTGGAGAGCCAAGGATAAATTTATAGTAAAGAATAAGGACCAAGAAAGTGCAGGTTACGCTATAATGTCGACTAACATCACCAGTCACTAAACAATCAGCTCATGCGATAACATTGCACGACACTGACTGGCGGTACTGACGTTCTACAACTAACTGGCTAACAGCTCTAGCACATCTTGGGTGCGCTTGTCCATCTAAATTGTCATAGTCGGAGTACAGTGCTGTTTTACTAAGGCACTCGGTTTTTCATGATTCTTCTTCGCATAGCTTCCCGCTTTTATTGATCTTCGCATCTTTGAGCCACACAAGTTGTGTGGAATGTTGCTTTGCGTCCTTGCATCGTGGTTTGACCGTATTGCCCAGTGGTCCTGTCAGTATCGTCATTGACATGCCTGAAGATCGGCCAACGTACCTCACAGATGAGACTTTCAGCTCGTGTTTGTCCTGGTTGCGCTCCCCTTCCCCTCCTCATGTTATGTCTATAACGTAGAACCTTCCAGTTGGAAGGCTGTTGGAGTGCAAATCTAAGATGTACTAGAACTGTTAGCCAGTTAGTTGTAGAACGTCACGTCAGGCAAAATAGCACGTCATAGTACATTTGAGATCAGCAGGAAGAAGATGATGACGTCCATGAATCATTAGTTAGTATATGTGCACACAAATCTGCTGTGTGTGTGACTCTGTGTATCAGCTATGACATCAACCCCTGTGGTTCCATGCCTAGCATGTACGTCTGAACCATCCTGCAAAGTTTGAATGACATAGGTTGAGCGTTTGCTCCGCGAAACATACTTTTTGAAATTTTCTTCATAGTACAGTCGTCCCTCTCTAATCCGGCACTTTATAATCCAGCACCCTCGATAAACCAGCACAATTTTCAATAGCCAAAATGTCCTTCATGCACATTGCAGCAGTAAATCAGATTTGTTAATCCAGCACCCTCCCTAATCCAGCAGATTTTCGTGGCACAAATGGTGCCGGATTATAGAGGGACCACTGTATATCTTCCACCATTGAAATTTCGAATTTCTTGCTGAGAGGTGTGGCTTGCAACCTCGATATGGCTTGTTCCAGGCATGCTTTGGAGCCATTCCCTGTTGAAGAAGTGGCGGGGATCTGCCCTGAAACTGCTACAAAAAAAATGACTCGATCTGAGAAAGGGTGAGGCCGCGAATCTCGGTTGAGTATTGAGTATTTCAAGCCTTTTCACGACGAAGATGGAGTTCTTTTTGGAGATGCACGTCACGGCAAAGGACATGGTGTGTCCGACTTCTGGCGTCTGGTGAAGCCAGGGATCATTTGTCCAGTCCGGTCGGCAGCCTAACCGTCGGTAAGCTTGTGTTTGGATCCCGTTTTGCTCGATGTGGTAGATCACAAACACTTTAATATCGCACAAATTGATCTCAGCATCGTGCGTACGGTATTTTATATTCAGAAAATCCCAAAGTGTCTCTGGGTGGCCGTCCTATGCCACGATAAACTCCAATCAGGCTCCTATGTCCTCTGCCTTCATGATTGAATGTCCACTTCGTTTGAACAACGAACACAACAATCGAGAACGGCTTTGCAATGAAAAATACAGCTAAACTGGAGCTGAAAAAATAGAAGAAAAAACGTGCTCAGGATGAGACTCGAGTACACGCATACTCTCCCAGCAGGTGAAACCCAAATTTTTGTGAAAAATGCATGTCGCCGACTGACCAGTAATTTCGCCTGACGGTACCGTCGGTCAGTGTCGTGCAATGTTGTCGCATGAGCTGATTGTTTAGTAACTGGTGGTGTTAGTGGACATTATAGCATGTTAGCTCCCGGCTAAACAAAGTCCCCTCACACGTCCAGAACACAGGCGTTTATAGTATTGAATATGGAATAAGTACTTGACAAGAGAGTAGACAAGAACGAAGGAGAACAGAACTGAACAACAACAACTCTAGAGAACCACTGGTGCATTTGCTCTTCTCTACTGTATTGGTACTCATTGCTAAGGGGAACGAGCGGGAAATACGAATAGTATGTATGTACGTTCCTATTATAAATACACCTATCACACGTTACCAAACGACCAACCAAGCCCCAATCTCGCAAACATGTAAAGAGCGCTGCCTCCTGTGGCTTGGGCACGTTGCCCGGGAAGGACCAGACTCTTACAAGGCACTGCAGCTAGCCCTCAATACTTCGGACATCAAGCGCCCCCGTGGACGACCCCACAAGAGATGGGTCGACAACATCAAAGAAGACCTCAAACCCTCTGAATGTGCCGATTCAGGAATGCCTCCACCTCGCCACCAAAAAGCAACTCTGGTTAACCCGACTGCTGCATGGACGATAAGTGCTGCGAATAGTGATCATGCACCCTGGCCTGAGTAGCTCGCTTGCATGCATACCAACAAGCTAGGAATCAGACCAAGCCGCCGAATGCCCCCAAATTCTGCGTTGGTCAGCCGAATGACCTTAGTGTGGTATTCAAGTGCTTCAGCTACATGTACGTAGTTCAAATGCGTGCCATTCGTATGTTTGTTTTCCCTTAGTGACACTGATAAGGGTTTGAATCGCATGTAGTCGGCAAAAGCAATGGGTGGCATGATGCCATAGGTGGGAGCTATAGCACAGCAACTGAGTGGTGCAGATAACTGATCATAAGTATCAGAGGCGTGCGTGCACAGTCAGTGCTAGAACGTGAGTCGATACGTCCGCGAATGGGCATACCAGCGTGTGCGCAGCGTGTGTACCTGCATGCATGCTTGTGCGGTGTCAGACTGCGGGTGCGTGTACGCGTGCATGCACGTGTGTGTGCATGCGTGGGGGTGTGTGCGTGCGTGTGTATGTGTCTGCGGGCGCGTGTATGTGGGTGTGGCTGTGCTTGCTTGCGCGCCTGCGGACGGTGAACAGTTACTTTCCACAGCGAACATAGTTCTTGTAGCAGGCACTTCGCCATCTGCCGAGTTTCATGATCTCGGATTCGGTGAAGCCGCTCATTGCTCCTGTGGTTGCGGCTCCGGCTCTGAGGCCGTGCAGTGAATACTGGATAGGTGGGTACCCTGCGCTGCTCAGGAGCTGACGGATTAGACGTGTGAGTCTTTATGCAGTTAGGAACTTGCCACAGCTGTCAATGAACAGTGGTCTATTGGGCAGGTTGGGGCGTCTGGAGAGATAGGTATGCATGGCTCTGACCGGGCAAACCGTTGAGTTGGTGGTTGTGAGCCGGACGGAGTGACCCTTGCCGAGTTGGTCGGTCTTGGACTTCTTGATTGTGACCTGTATGGCCTGCGGCGTGATGGAGAGGTCTTCTGTTCGGAGGCCACCGTCTGACATGGTTGTGGCGGTTGTGGAAGTGTATTCACTTGCCCAGAGACACGCAAAGAAGCCCAGGCAAATAGCTGCCCATACCATGGCTCGGTCGGTCGCGTTGAGGTTAGACCGTATCAGGGCATTGCGCATAGCTGCCATGTGGGGCAGGAGGATTGGCTTACTGGCGTTTTTAGTTCGGTTGGCCTGTGCACGTGCCACTCCTTGAACTGCGAGGTCCACTCTTCGCGACGAGAGATCTTTGCCGTTTTCTTTGGCAATTGCCCGGATCGCCGACACATACAAGCGGACGGTTGACGCGGCATTTTGACGCGCCAGGTAGGCTACAAACGCCAGCATGATGGTGTCTGTAATCACCTTGGTGCCGACTAGTTGGCAGAATTGGTGCAGTCGTTTCCAGGCTGTCGCGTATGTGGCACGTGTGGACGCTGACAGGCCTAGCCACTGGTAGGCCTGACCCTCCAACATCAGAGGGAGTAGGTGCTCTCGGGCACCGGAGATGGTGTGTCTTCTTCTGTGGGTGCCAGTCGGCGAAATCGGGCCATCTGAAACCGAGACAGAGAGTCAGCAATCGCATTGTCAGTGCCGGGGATGTGGGAGACTATGACGTGAAAGTTGTGTCGGGCAGCAATGGCAAACAAAGTGCGTACAAGCGCCATTAAATCGGGGCACTTTGTGCGTGAGCGGAGCCAGATGTCGCATACACTACGGTTGTCGCAGTGGAAGCGGATGCGCTTCAGATGCAGCTGCGGTGCCCATGTGGATGCTGCGGCCACGATGGCAAAGAGCTCCATCCACGCGATGGATCTCTGGGATTGGTGCCTCTGCCACCGGTGTTGGAGCCACCGGCCGGCGAAGAAAGCACCATAGCCGATGGCTCTAGATGCGTCCGTGTAGAGGTCCATATCGGCGGCGGCTGACCACGTGGGTTCTAGGAAGAAGGCGACGCCATTCCAGGCAGGGAGGAAGTCAAGCCACCACTGGATGTCTGCTTTGGCGTCTTCTGTGATTCTGATGTAATCATTGGGATTCGGGACCGTCGTGCTGAGATCAATGAGGCGGCGCAGAACCATGCGGCCCGCAGGGACCGCCTTGCAGGCAAAGCTGAGGTGACCTATCAGGGACAACAATTCAGACTTGCGGGCGGTAGGGCGGGTATGTTGCCAAGCCTTGAGGGCAATGAGAAGGTCTCCTAACTTGTCGGATGGGAGGCGGATTTCGAATCGCTCTGTGTCCAGCATGACACCGAGGAATGTCAGGGTTGTACTAGGACCTTCCACCTTTTTTGGATTGACCGGGAAGCCTAAGTCGTGGCAGGCTACCAGGGCATGGTCAAGCTGGTGCTGCGCGCCGATAGAGTCCGTCGCTCCACCAAGGTAGTCGTCTAAGTAGTGGATGACTGGAGCTACGTCGAAGTTGTGCGACATGACACACTGGAGGGCATCTGCGACTTTGTTAAACAGCGATGGTGATGAGCGAAGGCCGAAGGGTAGGCATTTGTCTACGTAATATTGCCCGCGCCAGAACAGGCATAATAGTTCCCAGTCCTCTTTCCGTACTGGACAAATGCGAAATGCGTCTTGGAGGTCGACCTTCCACAGATGGCAGCCGCGGCCGAGGGACCGTGCGAGATTTACGCCGTCGTCGACCGAACAGTACTGTACAGAGAATTTGTCGACAGGGATACCATCGTTCACTGAGTGGCCCTGTGGTGCTGACAGATGCATAATCAAGCGCCATTTTTGCACCGACCGCGACTTCTTGGGAACCACACCCAAACCGGAGACCTGTGTAAGTGGGAAGGGGGGCTCTTGGTAGGGACCGGCCATGCGACCTGCGGCAATTTCACGACCGATGGCAGCATCGACAATGTCAGGGTGCTTAATCGCTGATTTGAGATTACAAGAGACTCGGAAGGTACGGGGACCAGCAAACCCAACATCGAACCCATAAGACAAAGAATGTATTACGAATGAGGCAAAAGCCGGATCAGGATGCTTACACAAAGCGTCATGCAGGTAAGAAACGTTAATGGGGGTTACAGGCGTGTGCAAATGGATTGGCTCGTGAGCGAGGGTGCGTGTAGGAGAGATGTGAGCAGCTGGGCAGAGTGTGTGAGTGCTATTGGCCTGGGTGAGTGTAGAGTTACCGGTGAGTGACTGGAGTGACCGAGTCTCCAAGCTGGGCAACTGCGAGCTATTGGTCGCGGCTGGCGGCGGCTGGCTTTCCTGGGCATGACTTGGCGGGGTGGCTGCCAAAGCATGTGCTGCACTGGTGGCCGTAGCGACAGGCTGCGCGTTGGCAGCGGCCTTGGTTGTAGTCGCGGCAGACAGCTGGGGCGTTTGGCTGAGCGGTAGCCCCTGACCGCTGTGCCGGAAAGGGGCGTTTGGCTGCTGGCCCGTCAGACAGTGAAGCTAGGCTACGGGCGCGGGGGAAGCGAACTGCTAAATGACCTTGCCGGTTGCAGTGACGGCAGGGAGGCAGGATGGAGTTTGTAAACCACTCCGACCAGAGTTCCGGATCTGACGTGGCAAGGCTAGATTTGCTGCGTGCAGCTCTTGCACGGAACGATATGTCGAAGCCAGACCACGCACCGAATGTATAGCGTGCGGCCGCTTTCACGATTGTGCTTTGATACTTGAATAATTCCGGACCTCTGCCGGGGTCGTGGTGGAGGGCTACTTGGGCGAAGGCTGAGAACGCCTCCGACCACGATATCAAGTCTACAACTTTCTTTAGACGGGATGACGACGACATGGCAGATGGCAGATGTGGTCCCCCGTCCCCTGCAAGGTGAACCCACTGTCCGGACCCATGCTCGTATCAAAAGCCAGCTCTCCCAGTACACTACCAAAATCAACGTACTCACGTTTGATAATCTTGTCCGTGAGATGGTCGCTGAGGGCAGGCAATGGGATGGATGGTGGACGCTCTGGGGCGAGCAAATCGCCGTCCAGGAAGAGACTCTCCTGGTCTGGTCGTAGTGCTGAAGCCAGTGAAGGCTGGACATATTCAGGCTCAGAGTCAGGCACCACAACATCACCAGAGACTGGACCAGCCCGCTGTGCTGCTGTTGCTGCTGCTACAGTTGGCTGTGCATGTGGAGGTACCACCGGTAGACCCATCGATGTTGTCAGTGACGTCATGCAGGACGCCACTGCATCTTGCACGACCCGAGAGATCTTGGCAGATTGCTGCGACGTGAACGTGGGCGACGAGTCAGGCTGGGTCGCGGCCGCGGGGCTTTGAGTGGCCGGGACTGACGCAGGACTAGCC